ATTTTATGTCATAGATGTTGTTACTTTTTTCTATAAAATTAGTCTGATTCTATAAATTGATTTATGTGGGGACATAGGGAGTAATAAATATTAGCCCATAGGATCAAACAAGCACTAAGACTACTCAAAATGTTTTAAAAAAAAGCAATGCCTGAATGGGAAATAGAAAATTCAAGCACTAAGTTTGCGCGTTGCAGTGCATGAGTTGTTGGCCCATTTTAATTGTTCATGCCACACATTGCAACATGCCAACATTTGCTGACTGACATGTGTGAGTTACTTCTGCTCTCGGCACTGATGCTCGACAACTGTGGGTAGTCTTTTGCCTTGCCTTGGGATTAGTGTAGTGAGTCTCTTGCCTTGCCTTGGAATTAGGGCGTGGAGCCTTCCAATTAATGTGAGGGGTGACATCAAGCTACCGGCACTTGAGTTTTGCGATGCCCATGGATCCATGCCAAGCAAAACATCATCGATTTCAGCGGCACATTTAAGAACTGTATGATGAGGTGGAGAAGAAAGGTGGACGCTGAAGCACAAGAACCAAGAAATTTGTGAGAGAAAGGAGTGTGCTATACGTGTATGAAGCTCTGAGAACAGAACGGCGCCATGCAATTGCGCTATGAGTGAACGAAGCTCTTGAAATCGAAGTCAAGTCGATACAATCATGTCGGCCATAATACAAGAGTTCGATTTGAAGACAACTTGGAAACACTTGTGCCGTCGGCCATAGGATGGGCTGCCAGATATATAGGCCGTTTATTGGTTGGTTGTACTGTGAGAGTGTTAGATGGTCTCCGGGAGCCCATAAGACCATAATGATTGGACCAAACTACTTTGCGGGATACAAAGCCTAAAAGGTTAACAGGCAAAATATCTACTCCCATGTGCAAAGGAAAAAATTACCCAAAAATGTGCAAAGGGAAAATATTTGTAAATCATTTTTGTCTTTATAAAAGGAAGTCAGGCAGCTCTCTCTGTAGACTCCGTTCGAGCACATATGACATGATACTCTCTCTTCTACCCACATTCTTTGAAGACCCGTAAAAATTATCTAGAGCATAGAAGAGTTATTTATTTGATTGAACAACATATTATTATTATAAGAAACATCAGCGTTGTTAAGAATTAATCACGTCTTCTAAATCAAATTTTAGAGATAATCAAGGTCACCATCAGCAGAATTAGGCTATGAATAAATATTTTTTCATAATGTATAAGTCTAAAATTTAAAAGCAAAATATTTTTTATGCTAATCACTTTCTTCATGAAAATAGATAGCTCGTGTTTTATGAATTCTTTTTACGTATATTCACCAACATGACTAACTAATAGTGAGCTACATGCATTTTTTTTATTAAAAGTAAGCATATCCACAAGGATGTAAAACATGAAGATGAGGTTGTAGCAGTAATGGGATCGAAAATTAGAATTATTACCTTCAGTTTGGTTTTAGTAGCAGTAAATTGGGGAGTTTGTGTTCTAGCAGGATGTATGGCGGAATAGCCACCGAGACCGAGATGGATTTACTATTTTTCTGTTGAGATGATATCCATATGAGATTTCTATCACTGAATTATTAGACCTTTTTTTCAGTCGCTGACGTCTTCCTTTTAGTTGGCATACATGCGTGCATGTCCAACAAAAATTTCCAATCCAATGCTTAGATCCTAACTCACGACATAAAGAGGAGATATTGAGAAAAATCAGCATCAACATCTATAGAGGAGCGATATGTTTCTCCTAGGTGCTTATCTTTTGTTGTCCCTAAGTGCTTATCTTGTCAAATAAGTGATGCGAACCGCCCTTTTCTTTCTCATTAGTTTTTCTCCGCATCTGTATGAACAACGGACACGGTGAAGATATTTTCCCTTTTCCTCTAACTATTTGACACTGGTATAATCAATCAAACAACGTTATATCGAAATCAAGCAGATTAAAGCAAGAAGAACATGGGTGATGGGATGAGGAAATAAAAAGCAAAAAAAATCATATCCCTTTCCATCCATCCATCCACCCTAATTTGTCACTTTATTTCGTATATAGTACTTAGTTCTCAGTAGCAATTGCGTTATCATGTTGGCATTTTATCTAAATGGGCCTAGCCTGAATTTCTAGAGAAAGAAATTAGAATGGGTCACCTGTAGAAATAGCGGATAACTCTCATAAGTTGGATTAGCATTTTTAGAGACGGCACAATCATAAGCTATGAGGTGTTGCAGTCGTCCACAATCATGTTCGTGAGCAAGTGCCCATTGAAAGTGTTGCGTGGGTTCCTCTCCTTTCTACGTACCTCGCTCACCAAGGCTGGTGAAAGGTCCTAAATGGCTAGAGGGGTGAATATCCTAATTAAAATTCTACAAAATCACTAGAACAAAGTGTTAGACAATAAAATGTCGTAAATGCTGTTTTGCTCTAACTCTACAATAATGTTGTGCAAGCCACCTACCGAATGCTAGTTGCTATGATCTCTAGAATAAGTCACACAATCAAACAAGCTATGTCACTACTACAACTAGTAAGAGTTATGAAGATACTAGAAACAACTAATAACAACTATGCTACTCAACTAGCAAGATGAGCAACTACTACACAAGATGATATATGTATGTATGAGAAACAAGTGTAGTAGAGAGTGATATCGAACCGAGCAAATGTCCAAATTGAAATCCAATGAGACACAATATTTATGCCGTGGTTCGGTTGTTTGCCGGCAATTTAGTCCACGTTGTGACGACGTACTCACTTGATGGTTCACGTGCTAATCGGCATCACACGCCTAGCCCTACACATGGGCGCTGTAAGAACCAACCACAAATGAGGGTACACAAGTCACGCGTAATTTACTAGTGTTCCTTTCGCGGCTCCCATGGGGAATAGGCACAAAAACCCCTCACAATCACCGTTTGATGACATTGGTATTTTTACCAAGGCACCGGTAAGTGTGCAAGCTTTCCTTTAGACCTCATTGGAGCCCCCTCGTAAAGAAGCCCTCGCAAGAGCCAAGCTCTTGGTTGGGTAACTTCGTGAATAGCCTCAGGCGTTCACCACATGCAAGTGGGTCTCTGGAATAGCCTCTATTGGACCGCTCCTCACCGTCTTCACTATCGAGCTTCTGGCCAAACCGCCACGGGCCTCGTTCCCTCCAGTACATGGTGGTAGCCACAACACAAACGCGGTTGTTGTGGTCTCGCAAGACTACAAGCCCTCTAGTGTACAACAATGGTGCGTGCAAGAACCGAGTGGTAAAGAGGCATGCAAACCTCATTAAACACTAGGCCTAAACCTAGAGAAAGCGCTAAAGTAATGGTCTAACTAACCTAAGCACTTTGCAAAAGCTCATACTCTAATCACTGAGTATATCACTAAGCACTTTGGTGGCTAGAGCAACTAGAGTGAACCTCAACTCACACAATAAGTCTTCACTGAGCTCTACGTCCCTTCTCTTGTCAGTTGGGGTCATATTTATTGCCCCAAATGGGAGACATAGCCATTGGGACTCAACAGGTTTTCTATGCACCGTCGTACTGTCCCATGTGTGATCGTCGGACTAATTCCCTCGGTTTGGTGTCTCACAACGGCTCCTGTGTCAGCACTAACCGTTACCGACTGTTGGGCGCGTCTTTGTAGTGTATGGTCCGACGCCTTGTGTTGGACCAGTCCGATGTGTCAATCTCCTCTCTGGAACCTTTCTGCAAACCATCGAACAGGGTTACAATTGGTCTGACGCTTCTGCCTCCTCAATATGACGCAACTACGTTGTGAACAGTGGCGACACTTGGTCCGACGCCCTTCTCCACTTTGGTCCAATGCTCGGTTCGACGCTGCCGCTGACACCCTAGCTAGGGTTTGTATTGGCGTATGGTTCGACTCTCCTTAGGGTCCGGTCCGACGCCTCGGTTTGATGCCCCTGAAACCATATTTTCAACTTGTTTCTTTGCGATCTTGATGTCCGGCTTGGTATCATATTGTGCCTTTGACTCTTGCATGTCTTGTAGATCTTTTGCTTCTAAGGTGCTTGCTTGATGTGTTGATCATCCAGATCACACCGTTGCCTATTTTCAAGTCTATTTTTCCACCCTTTGAACTATATCCAAAAAAACTAGAAAAAAATGTTTGCCCAAATGGTCATGTTGATCCTCAAACATCAAAATCTAAAATAAATGGCTTAAGGGCCTATTTTTCTTACGGTAGAGACGGCCGTTGAAGTGGTATGTTCCTGTAAATGGCTTAAGGTTGGAGTCTCTAAAAATCGATTTTTATAGTAGCGTATATTTTGCAACATTAATTTATACTATGGCCCATTAGTGGTGAAAATAGTGTAATTTTTTATAAGGATCGAAATTTTGCATTACCATTTGTGTAGGAACACGTCCGTCTCCCTAGCATGTGCACGCGTTCGTGAACCGGGAGGCGACAATTCAATTACGCCATGTATAGCTTCCGTAGAAGAGTAGAGTTCTCATGTAATTAATCTCATTGACTAGAACAGCATCTATCATACAGTTTGATCAAACCAGGACTAATTTTTAACACACATACATACGCGTACAATTCAACAAGTCGCTAATTAACATGCATACAGCTACTGATCATACTCCCACGTCCCACCTCCATGGATCGATGGCCTTCATGCGAAATGGTCAAATGGAAAGGCGCCATACAGAACACAAGCAAGCACAACCTCACACAATTCTAACTGCAAGACTGAAATAAATAAACCAAGAGCAACAACTCATCAAACTATCAAACTACCTGGGATCAAGAACATGGTGTGCTGGTCTAATAATGCTGCCACACACCACTTTATTTATTACTACTATATATATATATATATGTCCTTGATTAGCCTAATTTCCTGACTAACCACGGTTAAAAATTTGTACTTTGTTGCTGCAGCTGTCGTTCCTCTTCTCCTCTGCTCTGAGATCCTATTCCTGCAACCACCAGGTCCGTCACAGCAGCCGGCACGAGCGGGTAGCCTGGTAGGGTGGATGCTGTCATCAGCGCCGGTACTGGTATGAGTACGACGCTGGCGGCGACGGCGACGGCTGGGTAGGAGGAGGAGGAGGAGCGGCAGCGGCCGCGGCGCTGGCGATGTGCGTGCAGACCTCGGCGAAGGCGGTGAGGATGGCGGCGTGGTGGCGCGGCGCGTTGAGCGCGAGGAGGCGGCGGAGCATGCTGTGGAGGCCGTCCCAGTCGCACAGTCCCATCTCCACCACCATCTGAACCATGCTGTCGCGGAAGTCGGCGCGCGGGTCGGACGACTCCTTCTCCACCGCCACGCCCACGCCGTCGGCCTCCGCCGCCACCGTCTTCTCGGCCGCCCTCTTCTTCTTCTTAGCCTGCTTCTTGGCGACCACCGGCGGCCCGCGGGCAGGTGATGATGCCGGCGCGGCCTTGGCCTTGGTCGCCTGCTGCTGCTTGCGGAACGGCGGCAGCGGCAGCTCTTGGTGTTGCTTGGTGGTGCAGGCTCCGTACACGACGCGCGAGGGGTAGCAGTAGTAGTAGTCGGAGGAATAGGCCGACGCGTAGCCGCTGGTGCTGTGCGTGGCGGCCGACGAGGAGGAGAAGGAAGCAGTGGAGGTGGAGGCGCAGGAGTACTGCTCACCCCCGCTCCGCTTCGTCGTCGCAGCCTTGCCACCACCGCCCATCATCAGCTGGCTGCAGGGCTTGAGGAAGGACGGCAGCCTGAGCAGCCTCGGGCGGCGCGGGCGGCACCCGCACCCGGCGTCGACCACCGGCGCGTACCGGCGCCGCCCCACCGGGAACTGCCTCCCGCCGCCACCGCCGCCGCGCGCTCTGGTTGACGACATCGCCGGCTCGTGTGGTGTGCTCTAGCTGTTGTGTCGTCTGGTAGTAGTTGCTTGCACGGTGCCCTGGTACGATGGGACTGGGAGCTGGAAGGGGATGATCTCTAGCTGCCTGTCTTGCATGCAACTATGCAAGTGTGTGGATGGTGATATAAGAAGCAAAGGAGGGGGGATGTGTGGTTTATATATATATATGTATGTAGTAGATTTCATTTGATATGACAAGATATAGGTGGATTAGGAGGGGATGGGGTTAAAAAAGGGATCTCTGGTTGGGTTTAGTTGGGGCATGTGGGGTGAGCTTGGGGGCTCATCATTACTCACCCTGCAAACCTCTCTTGACTTTGACCGTCCTTGCGGTCTAGACTTAACCGTTTCAATTAATCTTTGGTTGTGATTTATCAAAATTTTGGTTGTGTATACTTTCTAGTATGCTTAGGTTTAGCCATATGAAAATGATACTAGTAAACTACCAGAAAATAGAATTTCGTTGGCAGGCTTGCATTTCCTTGGGGGTGAAATAAAACCACAAAGGAATATATTATATCTTCCTTGACGGTGTTATTAAACCATCACGAAAATGTGTAGTCCTTGAAGATTGATGTGGACTGCCAAGAAAGTTGTGTATTTCCTTGAAGGTTATTGGCCCACGAAAGACTTGATGGCTAAAAACATTTTATCATAGCTTTGGTGAATTTGAACTAAGGATTGAGCCTATTGCTTGAGGGTTTGATGCCAAAGAAATTGAATTTTCTTGTGCTATATTCTTAGCGGATTTTGCTTGACAGTGGTTTATTTCTGGCCGCTAAGCAAATTTTACGTCCTAAAACTGTAGATTTATATGTCTCGGAAACAGAGGCGGAGCCAGCGATTTTGATTAAGGAGGGCCGGACAAATGAGATCGCATTTTTTCGTGTGATAAAATATACGTAATTAAATGTGTCGACGAAATATGGTTGGCAGTCCACTGAGGGGGGTGCCCGTGGTGGTAGATTATCGGTAGACGGTGCGTGTAATCAGGAACCAGATGGTGACACAAGGCGTAGAGACAACGATTTAGACAGGTTCGGGCCGTCTGATCGACGTAATACCCTACGTCCTGTGTCTTTGGTGTATTGTATTGAGATGTATCTGATTAACTTTGTCCTCTAGGGGACCCTTGTCTCTCTTATATACTCCAAGAGACAAGGTTACAAGTAAAGTATCCAATTTGGTACTATTACAATATCTAGTACAACTTATAATCTTGATGTGCACGCCTTGATCTTATGGGCGGGCCACCTCGGATGGTGCGCCCCATGTACCATCTTAATGGTACCCGGGGTATATCCCCACGCCTAGTCCCCAGCGCCATGTATTACGATGTGACACGTCGTTTCAAGCTTCTCCGAACAGTGAGGCTTGAGTTCTTGACATCTCCGACCACCGTTGTCGCCGAAGAAGTAGGTTGTCCGAAGAATGTATGGTGCTCTTAAGAAGAAAGAAAAATATTTCCGTCCTAGAAAGTGTGCCCACTTGTATTTCTGAAAAGAAATGTAAGTGCGTTTTGAAGCATAGCGTCCTTGATCATCGAGGCGTAGGGTTGAAAAACAAACACATTCACCGCAAGGTGAAGTCTGCCCTTAGTCCCCGAGCACGGTAGTAGGTGACGTGAAGCACGTGGTGCCGAGGTTTAAAAAAGAATTCCCGATTAAGTTGAGAAACGAATCGTCGTACAAGCGATACAAGATGCACCAGCCAGTGCATCGTGCGATGTAGTCCCCGAGCTTGCCGGAAGGCGAGTATGAGCCTTGTAGCAAGGTCTAAGTGAAAAAAATATCCCAATCAGTATGCGAGTCGCCATCGCATGTAGTCGAGACGCAAAGTCCCCGAGCCGTGGTCGGAGAGTGGTCGAGCGGTCCCCAGCAACAGGTCGAGGAGCGGCGGCGAAGTCCCGAGCCGTGGTCGGAGAGTGATCGAGGCGATCCCCGAGCACAAGTCGAGGAGCGAGCGACGAAGTCCCCGAGCTATGGGCGGAGAGTGATCGAGGCAATCCCGTCGCGTGAGAAGCGAAGCGACGAAGTCCCCGTGTGGTCGGAGAGTGATCGAGGCGATCCCGGCGTAGGTCGAGGAGCGAGCGACGAAGTCCCCGAGCCGTGGTCGGAGAGTGGTCGAGCGTCCCGTCGCGTGAGAAGTGAGCGCAAGTCCCCGAGCTGTGGTCGGAGAGTGGTCGGCGGCGTCCCCAGCACAAAGTCGAGGAGCGAGCGACGAAGTCCCCGAGCCGTGGTCGAAGAGTGGTCGAGGCGATCCCGTGCGTGAAAGCGAGCGACGAAGTCCCCGAGCTGTGGTCGGAGAGTGGTCGAGGCAGTCCCCGAGCACAAGTCGAGGAACGAGCGACGAAGTCCCCGAGCATAGCTCGAAATTACTGCAATAAAATATGTAGAATGGTAGTATATGATGTACAAAATAATAAATTATGGAGAAAATGACGCTCAACAGCCATTTGCAAATGAGCATGATGTGATAAAGCAGTTGGTGCTTTGTAAACATCAGTGTTAATGTGAAGTTTGTGTTTATACTTAATATAAACTGCCCGACCAGTTAGTATGTAGCTGAGTCTCCAGCCCTAGCTAACCCGTTAACCATAACGCGGGGCACGGAGCCCGTGCACGTGTAGGAAGAACAAAGCGTCGCTAAGGAGCCGCTGTCGACCACCCATAACGCAGAGGGCAGACGCTCGTGCACGTGTAGGGAGGAGCCGGAGACAGAGCCTTTTCTAGAGACATCGAGCGTCAACATGATTGGTCAAGGATTTGCATTAAGTATAGCTGTATGTTATCTTTAAGATTGTATACATGGACAATCGTTATTTGAAGAATAATCATGACGAGGACGCTGTGGAGAAACGTCGTAATGAAAATTGTGTTAAATATAAATATTAGAAGTGTACTTATCTTTAGATAGAAATCTGGTCGGTGGCGATGAAGTTGTCCGGTCCTCGAGCTTTCCGACTTGTCGTCACGACGATGGTCGCGGTTGTCGTAGCGCCGTTCTTCGCAGCGATCATCATTGCGACGTGGTCTGGTGGTCGAGGTGGTCGGAGCTCGGCAGAGCCGCTCGGGACGTGGTCGACGTGGTCGAAACTCGGCGTAGCCACGTGGTCGAAGCGTGCTTGATGCCATATGTGCGTGTGCACATGCAAGTGCCGCAGCGATCTGTAGTTGGCCTGCACGTACATGTACACATACTTCTTCCTTATTTGCTTGCATGCATGCAGATTTGCTTCCATGGAGATCTCTATTGTGTTTGATTCGAATTGGAGTAGAACTCCCGTGCGGATGCGGCTCGGAGTGCAAATGCCACGTAGTTGCGTCGTCGAGTCCTCGGCGGGTCGGTGAAGTCAGAGAAGACGCTGATGATGAGGTTGCATGTATGCGGCTGTAGGCCGTACGTCTTGATTGGATCTCGGCGACTGGATGATGATCTAGCTTGCCGAAACTGTTCGTGAGAACGTCGAGCGTAGATGCATGTATACACGGAAGTATGTGCGGCTTGCATGATGATCTAGCTTGCTTGTTTGTCATTGGCTTGCATTCTTCGTATATGCATATGCTGTATATGTGCATACGCCCGTACATGCAAGTTAGCCTTGCATGTTGCTGTAGATCACGGGCCTGGCCAGCCAACATATCCGTGTCGATCTCTTGGAATCGGATCCCGAAGCCATGCATGTTGCTGTAGATCACGGGCCTGGCCAGCAAACGTATCTGTATCGATCTCTTGGAATCGGATCCCGAAGCCATGCATGTTGCTGTAGATCACGGGCATACTGGAGCCCTGCGTGCCCGTCGTGAGCCCGATGGGATCTCGACGAAGCGCCGCCATGTAGTTCAGCCGAGGAGAGGATCAGATGGACGTCGGTATGCAACGGAGGTCGCTGAGTTGTAGCCGTAGTAGATTGATTCCGTCGCCGAGTTGTTGCCGTACGGTGGAATCGAGGTCTGCCATCTAGTTCACCATGGATCAGCGCGCACACCCCCTACCTGGCGCGCCACTGTCGACGAAATATGGTCGGCAGTCCACCGAGGGGGGGTGCCCGTGGTGGTAGATTATCGGTAGATGGTGCGTGTAATCAGGAACCAGATGGTGACACAAGGCGCAGAGATAACGATTTAGACAGGTTCGGGCCGTCTGATCGACGTAATACCCTACGTCCTGTGTCTTTGGTGTATTGTATTGAGATGTATACAGATTAACCTGTCATTTAGGGGACCCTTGTCTCTCCTTATATACTCCGAAGAGACAAGGTTACAAGTAAAGTATCTAATTTGGTATTATTACAATATCTAGTACAACTTGTAATCTTGATGTGCACGCCTTGATCTTACGGGCCGGGCCACCTCGGATGGTGCGGCCCATGTACCATCTTGTGGTACCCGGGGGTATATCCCCCACAAAATGTTTCAACAACTTTTCAAAAAAAAATTACATTATTTCTAACCAAAATCATGATGTTTTAACAAAAAACAGGTGAAAATGATTTTTTGTGTGCTATAAATACCAATATTTATATAGTTATTTAAATGAATCTACTGTGCTTCGGGGTTTGGGGGGGAGGGGGGCACGGCCCCTGCTAGACCCCTGGCTCCGCCTCTGCTCGGAAAGTAGTTTCACAAATATATGCTTTTTCTATGTGCATACAGTAAAATTAGTTACATAAGTATTATCTATTGTGTTTTAAAGACCGTGTTGATGTCAAAAAATTGCTCAAGCAGCAAGTTTACGCATAGGTGTGTTCTCTTACACGGATGCACGTACGCTGCCAGCACATGGATAAATAGGTCGCCGGGAAAATTTAGTTATTGATATATCTCCATTCATATTTAGTACTAGTAAATATGAGATGTTAGAACAAGCTAAGTCATGGTTCAGAATTAATTAAAATACCATATATTTCGAATGGAGAGAGAGAGCATGTATATATATATTTAACGCGATAATATGATGTTCACTGGTCCTCAAAT